AGCACCTGCCTCTTGAGAAGGGCCCACTTGGTCACTGTACCCTGGGCCTCCCTCCACTGAGGTCTCCTGGCTACCTCCTCATCCGCCTGGATCAGGTCTTTGCTCCCAAAGAACCTCAGAACATTCCTCCCAAGCCAGAAACTGGAGAGTGCCATGAACCTGTCCCTCTCCCAGCTGCCATCAGACTTAGAGAGTGTCCCTCCCAGCCTCTTTCCTATTCCTCCTTGCTGCCTCACTCCCCTTCCTCCAGTTGCAGGGCTCTAGAGTGGCACTGTCTCCTGTCACCAGGATTACTACCTCCCTACTGGCTTCTCTACCTCAAAGCTCACACCAGGTCTTGGCTGTTCCTGGTATTTGGGGACATGCTGGCTTAGGAGTCCCTGCCTGGTCTTGGCCTGTCCTCAAGGCTTCTCTATCACAAAATCATCTCCTTGCTGTACTTTCTTGTTTATGGCCTGCTTCCTCACTGCTCCCCATTACTCAGGAATTTGTCAGTCAGTCTGCCATTTTCAAGGTCTCATCCAACCTCCTCAGGGCCTGGATCCTGCCACCCACAGGTTTGGTGATCTATTGGAGACATAAGTCTGATGATACCTGAACCATGAAGTTTTGGGGTGTACAGTGAAGGAGATGCCCTGGGTACCTGCCCTCTTTCCTCATGGCCCCCAGTCAACTAACTTCACTAGAGACCCAAGAGAAATCTCCACAAGATTCCTCTGAAAGGAATCAGGGATGCAAGCAGAATTCTGAGCAAAAATTCCAAGAGAAGATCTTATCACTTTGTTTTGAGGAATTTGCTACTCAAGGGCTGACCCAGAGACCTACAATGTCAGCATCAGGAGCACTGCTCTAGTCTGTATCTTGAATGTTCCCCAATGGCCCGCATATCAAAGAATTGGTCCTCAGGGTGGTGACACTAGAAGGTAGAACCTTTAAGAGATGGTCCCTGGCTGTGGGGTGTCCTCATGTCATCGGGTGTGCCCTTGAAGGGGATACTGGTGCCCCAGCCATTCCTTTCTCTGTTTTGCTTCCTGGCCATCAGGTAAGAGGTTTTGCATTGCCATTCTCTCCCACCATGATCTGCTGACCCACCTCAGAACTAAAAACAATGGGCGAACTGAATGTAGACTAGAACATCCAAAACTGTGAGCCAAAATAATCTTTTCTCTTTGTAACTTGATTATCTCTGGTACTTGTTGTAATAGCAAAAATCTAACAAGTATCTTTTTTTTTTTTTCCTTCTGGAAATGGGGATTGATCCCAGGGGTGCTCTACCTTTTCGATATCTCCTGGCGTTTTTAAAAAATATATTTTTGATGTTGATGGACCTTTATTTTATTAATATATTTAGATCCAGTGCTGAAAAGTCGAACCCATAGCCTCACACATGCTAAGCAAGTGCTCTACCACTGAGCCACAAATCCAGCCCCTCTCCCAGCCTTTTCTGTTTTTTATCTTGAGATAGGGTCTGGATAAGTTGCCCAAGCTGGACTGGAACTTGTGATCCTCCTGCCTCAGTCTCCAAAACAGAATGGCTGGGATTAGAGACATGCACTATAGCACTCAGTTCTAATACAAGGACTTTGATAGAAATGCAGAATATCAGGCTCCATCACCAACCTGATGAATACAAATCTGCCTTTCAACAAGATGAACAGGCTTTAACAAGCAGCATTCCCGCAGGAATATTTTGTTTTTGTGAAGCTGGTGGAGAATCAAACAACTTCCAGCACTGCTCTTCCCTGTCCTGCCCCATCCTACACTCACTCACC